TAATAAAAAAGCAAAGTACATGAATAAAAGTTACAGCTCAATTAAAATCAGCGGCAAAGAGAAAAGTCTTCAGCCTGGATTTAAAAGTAGTCAGAGTTGCAGCGGACCTGCAGGTTTCTGGGAGTTTGTTCCAGATGTTTGGAGCATAATAACTGAACTTCTCCATGTTTAGTTCTGACTCTGGGGACAGAAAGCAGACCAGAAGTCCTGAGAGATCTGGATGGTTCATCATTTAGATCAGAAATGTATTTTGGGCCTAAACCATTCAATGTTTTATAAACCAGTAACACTGGGATATCTATAACTCCCCGGTGTTCCCAGAGATCAGTGACCACATGGCCAGGGGCGCCGCTTGCGAACAGGCAAGGCAGTCAACTGCTTGGGGCCCCGGACCAGAAGGGGGCCCCGCACCAGAAGGGGGCCCCCAAAGAAGGTAGATTAAGAAGGTCCACAGCAACGACAACATGAAACACCCTTTCATTTACTGCAACGACATGTCGGCTGTGCGTGGGGATGAAAGCTGGTTCGAGGGGCCCCCAGGGAATGTTTTCCTAGGGCCCCCACAGACTCTAGAACCACCACTGGCTGTATGTATATAACATTCAGTTATTTTGCTGTAACTTTAAGATAATCTGCAGGAACTTTAATCCCCGAGCGTTAAATTTAGCCCGTTTTCTCCGCACACATTCAGATGTTAAAGCGACGCCAACACTTTATTTAACAAACAAGGCTACGGAGATACAGAAGCTTCTACTTCTGCTCATTTTAGGTATCTCTCTTTTCTCTCTTGAAGGTTTAATGGCAATAACATTTAGATTTTTGATATATCTTTAAGAAAACAATTTCAGTCAGGGGTTTGATTTGTTTTACTCATAACTTTCCCAAAGTCTTTCCATTCTGCTCCTTGGAGAAAACAGTAAATGTACTTATATATTTTTTTTATGTTTATGTTTTCTCTTGTAATAATTGCTGACAGTTTTCAGACTTTGAGGAGAAAAAATCTGGTGTAAACTTTAGTTTAAGACTTTAACGAAGCACTATTTTGAGTATTTTCAATTTTGAAACCAAATTAAGTGGAGGACAGTAAATGTACTCATGTCTTCGAAATTACAAGTTTCATTTGGCATTTTTACAAGTATAACTCTTGTAGCTTTTAGTTTACGAGACTTTAACGTATACCATTTTGAGTTTTTAATATTTAACTTGCACATTACCAACGTTTTTCCGATATTTTCTATGGAGACGCTAAACCAAACTAAATGGAGGACAGTAAATCTACTTTTGTACCATTCTTCTTCACAGTTTCACGTTTTATTTTAAGTATAACTCTTGTAGGTTATATGGAAATAAAAGGCACGTACCATATTTATTTTGGTTGCATTTTACAGATAACTTGCGAGGTATTCAGTTCAGTCTTCGGAGGGAAACATGGTGTAAACTTTAGTGGTTGAAACACAATTTGAGGGTCTTTTATTTCCATTTTATACTCAACTACTCTATCTGAAAGTGAATCGGTAGACTCATAGATGTATGATAAGATAAGAAGTACTTTATTGATCCCAATTTGGGACATTTTTGTGTTGCAGCAGCCTAAAAAGACAAGATATATATGTTCCCGGTCAAGATTTAACATGCAAGATTAGTTTAAAAACCATCCTGTTGAAGAAATAATCTCTATAAATAAAGTGTAACACCTATATATTCTGCTCTCTAAGGAGTTAAACTACTAATGTCATTTTAAATATTTAAAATGATCCCTACTTTGTTTACAATAAAATGCTGCTTCCTTGAATATATCAATAATAATTTGATCATTTTGAATCCAGAGTACATTTTGAGGCTTGTTTACTTTTACACGAGTACGTCTTTCGGAGAGGTTTTTTTGCTTAAGTAGTAATACTTTTATTTAAGTAAAGATCTAGATATTTATCCACCACAAGTCTTCTTTTTGTTTGTAATCAAGTCTCCAACAATTAACAGTTTTTTTGAAAACATAGAAGCTTTTTCTCTGGTTTTCCGTTACGTCATGAACCTCAACATGAACTTTTCTTACCGATATCTTTTCTTTTTTTAGATACTCCTTTAAGCCCGGGGGTTTTAAATGTAGATGCCATTGTACCCTCGTGTCTGTACTTCAGTCAGTGTGAAGTGAATGAACTGTTCTGAGGTCATCCCGAGTTAGTTTCACCGTAACGTCTCGGCTTCGTGTTTCTTCGAAGCCTCCGGAGACAATCCCTAACTCCAGTTACTTAAGAACAAAAACCACACCCTATATTTAACCGTGATATTATCCCAGCTCCGAAGCCAACGTGTTGTTATGGCCCCTTGAGTTTGGAGGGTCCTAAAATACCCCGAGAGCCCCGGAGACCCTCCACCTGTTGCTGGTTCACAGATGACGGCCATTTGTTCCCGAGGCAGAAATGTGTTTTGGGATTCTTGCGCCGAGTCTCTTCTTTTAAGACGAGCCCGCTGTCATTTATTTTGTCAACATAATGAAGATGTTGGGAACAGCTGAGGCTCCGGGAATAGATTTTTAATCCATCACGCCATCACTATCCGGACTCTCACAACAGGGGAAGTCAAGTTCATATAGATGGATGTCGTATCAAATAACTAAGTACACTTATTCAGGCACTGTACTTCAGTATCATTTTTAAGATACTTCTATACTTCATTATCTACAGTGCTTCTTTATACTCCACTACTTTTTTGCTGCACTACATTTCTAGTTAATAGTAAATGGTTCCAAATATTTGGTGGTAAAGAAACATTACATTATAAATTGTAAGTGTTTAAAGCAACAACGAAGTACATTAAATAGTTATGGGGTCAGGGTTGAGTTGGCGGTTTGTAAGGTTGGCCTGATTTTGTTGTACTACTGGTTGTTGTGGCAGTAACTTTTTGATGGTATTGCTGCAACATGTAAAGCTAATTGTTGTGTGTGTGTGTGTGTGTGTGTGTGTGTGTGTGTGTGTGTGTGTGTGTGTGTGTGTGTGTGTGTGTGTCAGTAATTTGTACAAAGGAAATTATCTGAGAATGAAACTGAAACAAAGTTGTCATGGTTAAGTCTGAAAGCTGACTTGCTAATTTAGCATGTTATTATGCTATGTGCTAGCGTTTAGCATGTAACATTTATCATGTTACTATGCCTTCATTTAGTGAGTAAATATACTCAAATGTAACATTTAAAGTTACCATGAAACTAACAGCATGTTAGCATAACTGCATTTAGTGAGTGAATGTGTTAAAATTAAGCCTTATAGTTAACTTGTAAACTAACAGCATGTTAGCATTAGCCTCCCATTAGCAAAAAACATGGTAGCAGCTAGGCTAATATTCCTGTGGTCCTCATGAAAAAACCTCACATTATATATCTATTATGAACAAAAACTAACAAACTATACATTACCAATACATTCCTGGTGGTAATACAAATAGCAGAACCCTAAAAACTGTATAGTAAAAATAAGAAAATACAATTGTAAACAATGGTTATCAGTTTTAGAAGTTGTTATGATTCATATCCAGAAATACTTTATAATACTTTTCTGATCCCAGGTTTGTAGGCATTGTACTAACATATCTAACCATAAGCAGAACTATAGTGTACTAATACTATTGGTAAGAATGGGATGTATAGTAATAGTTTAATGCAGAATAGTTTAGAGTAACACTTTGACCTGTTGGTGGCACTACAATAAACAAGTAATTCTCTTTTGAAAGTAATATCCTGGACAATCCATCCCATCATTTCTTGGTGTTATTTGCAGCCCAGTTGTCTGGACCTCCATCTCTGGGTCTATATTTATCCGTTGTGGTGCTTTGAGGCATTAACGCGGCCTCAGTTACAAAGCCCAGAGCAGATAAATGTCCTGGATAAACATGGACGTCCTAAGATAGAAACGAGTTGATCCGAACCTGACATGTGAGACGAGGAGGAGAAACAGGGCTTTAAACGAGAAGTAATAACGTTAATGAATAAATGTAAAGTACTTATGAACAGATGGTGTTTTTGTTTGTCAGCAAAAAACTAAATTGCGTCCAGAGATTTAGTGTGAAATTCGGCTAAAAACACACTTTCATCAAACTGGTTTAATATGATTTACCTGGTAACTTATAGATTCTTAATTTACTGTCCATAGGCTCATGTTCTCAATTATTATAACGTATATTAGTTTATATACTGTAGGAGTAATCAAGCTGATGACACGTAATCAATACTATTAATATTATTATTTATTCTTAATATTATGAATGTACTTATTGTTATTATCATCATTTTTATTATTTGACTATTACTTTTTTCTTTATTCATTATTATTAATATATATCATTAATACAAGTAAAATAATCCTAAATCACAATGTGAGCTTCACTTTGTCCTCTTATTAAAATAAAATTAAGTCTACAGCCTTGTTGGCGTTCCTGAGAGAAAAAACATCCCTCTTTTTAGATTTAAATATTAACAAAACATGTTATTTATATTATGCTTTTCCTGGTGCTCAAACGCGCTTTACAAGCAAGTACCGCATCCAAAAATATAATTATAATCAACCGAAACGCACTTTAGGACTAGAAGTATAGCAAACTCTCATAAAGCACTGTGTGAACTGTGTTTGACAACAAATATAGAGATTTTAAAATGTTGTATGTGTTAGGGAATCATTAGCCCTAGTGTCCTCTTTCACCCTCTGACGCAGATGCTCCAGCCTCGAGCAGCCGTTATCTCCCCTGAGGAGGGGCTGCCCTAGCGAGTTGTTACCAGTTTGTGACCGGGCAGCTCTCGGTCAGAGATAGTTATTGTTGTGGGACACCTGGAACACATCCTTCTCGGGGTGTAGATGACACCGAGCCATAAGCGACAACACATCTGTTTATTCTATCTAATGAAGAATGTTGATTAGCCTTAGCGAAACTAGTTAAAACCTCATACGAGAGGACGGGCTCTTCAGAATTGATTGTGGCGTCTCAACCGTGTGGTCAGACCGTGGCGTGTTAATTAACATTAACATGCTTATTGTAGTTGTAAGTGCACTGTCTTGATGGAGCATATGTTTGGGCTGGACCTGTATTATAGGAAAGGAGTGAGCAGAGAGTAGAGTTGTTGATTCTTGTTCTGTTTTCTGTGACTATCTGCCTCACCCTCTCAGAATTTCAGTTGCACGCGCTACTAAAGAGACGCGCTACCATGGAAACCAAACAATGGTGTAGCTGTATTAAAGTCCGAGTAGAAACAGTCCTGAGTAAATCTGATTTAGTCAGAAATCGGGAGAAATGCGGGAGAAATATGACCCCGGGAGGAAACCGGGAGAGGGCAATGAAATCGGGAGGGTTGACAAGTATGGGTGTGCCGTCAGCAGGGCCTTCTCTGCTGGCCCTCTAACCAATACAATAAAGTGAGTGGAAAATGTTTTTCATTAATATTTAGTTATACGTTTTAATAGTATAATATCCTCAACATTACTAAATGAAGTGAGGTGTTGTTGAGGCTGAACTGGAATTTCCTACATCAAAAAAGTAACTTCACAGTTATTTTAGTTGGCGGGGGCACAACAGATACTGCTAGCCTGTTGTTGAAAGACAACACATTTGATTGGTAATAAGCATTGTTGACAGATTCATCAGCCAATCAGATGTTGTAGTTCAATGACAGCGTCCTGAGCTAAGACTTCTGTCGTCGAACTTCCTTCGTAGCATCGACTTTATTTACAAGTGAGCACGTTACTATTCGGGTCATTTAGAGCGACGTGAGAGTGCACGATGACACAAGTTTAATAATATATGACTTCATTGATCAATGTTGGGACATGTCGTCTGCTTTGAACCCTTATCTAGCTGACTGTGTTGACTGTTGATCAGCTGTTGTGGTTGTTGACCAGCTGTTGTGATTGTTGACCAGCTGTTGTGATTGTTGACCAGCTGTTGTGATTGTTGATCAGCTGTCGTATTGTTGGGAGGCTGTTTGGCATAATGTGCGCATCATCTGATCATGGCTGCGGTGGCTGGAACAGAGACGTGTAAAGTGTGTGTACTGTATGTGCTTTTCAATTGTTGACTGAAGGCCCTGTCTAAAGCCCCATGGTACGCCACTGCATACATGTACATATACAAACATAATAAACATTGAAATACATACACATATCATCACTCATGCACCTACTGACAATGGCGACCTGTTGCACAACCCTCATGGTCAACATTTAAAAGTATATTACATCACATGTGAGTGTTAAGAAGCTCAATGGACATACTGTAGGCAGGAATGAGTGCTTATAGAGGTGCAAACACTGCAGCAAGTTAAACACTATTGTGGCTTCTTTTCTTATTCTCTATCAAGCCACGAGACGCCTTAAACAGACATTTTTAACTTGTTTTCTTTCCTTCACAGTTTGATGAGTTGCTCAAAATAAATTAACAAACTTTTACACATGCAACAAAATAGAGGGGTTTGAGGCTAGAATGGATGATCTGTTTGGTATTTTGAGCACTTCATAGACATGTTTTTTATATATTTGTATATATCTGAGACCTATAATATTTGCCTAAAAACAGTATAATAGGAGACCTTTGTGTTGTTTTCTCCCAGCTGCGTCTCAGCGGGGGCAGAAACCCCTTCGAGGGCCGGGTGGAGGTCCTGATGGAGAGGAACGGGTCCCTGGTCTGGGGCACGGTGTGCAGCGAGGGCTGGGGCACGATGGAGGCCATGGTGGTCTGCAGGACGCTGGGACTCGGGTTCGCCAGCAACGCCTTCCAGGTACCCTCACACATCCTTTACTCAAGTACACACAAACTCGTGTTTAAAAATACTCTGGTGAAAGTAGAAGTACTGACTAAACTTCTTTACTCAAGTAAAAGTAAAGGAGTATGGTCTTTGAAATGTACTTCAGTAAAAAGTACCCATAACTAGCAGCTGTTTTAAAGAGTACCTGACCTCCCTTTATATTAATAGAACAATATGTCATTCCAAGGCACACAGGGGATGGTTTCCATGCTGAACAACGGCAACATGACAACATTTCCATTGGGTCCGCCTCTTCTTAGAGAAGGACCAGGAAATGATGGGATACACGGAGTCGTGGTTCAAATCAATAGCACGCAATGACTCTAAATAATAATGATCACGCCACCAAACACACATTCAAACTAAAGGAACCAGCCTGAAGTATTCAGAAAAATAAGTAGTGGAGTAAAGTACTGATACCAGAAAAATGTACTTAAGTACAGTTACAAAGTATTTGTACTACAACCAATCAGGGGAGGGGATTCATGTTCTCTCCAGATCAATAACACCTCTCAATCACAAGAAATCAGAAGGTAGGTTGACACGTATGAGGAATTTGACTTGATGTCGTGGTGTATACATAAAGGTAAAACTAAAATTAAAAAAACAGATAGAGAACTATTTTAACACAGAAGTCCCAGTTCGAGACATTTTGATTTCACTTCAGGTCAAATTAGTATTTTCTAAATCTCCCAAATCTGGACCATGATCAGTTTCTGTCTAATTACTTTGACTTTAGGAAGTTAATTGGAAATAACTTCATAATTTGTTTTGCACACAAGTCGCCCCAGTCTCATGTGACCCTGATATGAAAAGGTAAAGTTCACCATCTAGTGGTCAAAGTGGAGAATCACCTTTGTTCACAATTATTCATGGTACTTAAAAAATGTAATTTCTGTAATAAAAAACAAGCTTCAAATGGATTGATTTGCATAACAAGGAAGTACATTTTACCTCCTAAATTTATCTGGAGTTACATTGTAATATTTGCAGGACTTTTACGTATGAATGAATTTTGTTCGATTGGTGAATTTGTTAATGAAATACAATTCCTAAAATGTTTTTTTGTAACATCTGATAACAAAATGAACTAGAATAGGTGTTGGAAAGCTCAGAGCCCTACTATATGAAGTTTAAAATGTAAAAATAAATAAATATACATTTCACAGTCGTCGGGAACCCCTATTTCCCATTATTCCTTCAGCACACGAATGCAGCATCTTTCTGTTTCCCAAAGTTAAGAAATATTGTGTTTGTCTTTGACTCCTTGAAGCTTGAAGTCTTCATAATATCAGACGTGTTGGTTTGACCCGGTTCTGTAATATTTCTAAATCTCCCAAATCTCGACCATCAACAGATTCTGAATAATTACTTTGACTTTAGGAAGTTCATTGGAAATAACTTCATTATTTGTTTTGGACTCAAGTCTCATGTGACCCTGATATAAAAAGGTAAGGTCCGTCCTATAGTGGTCGAAGCACAGAATCACCCTACTTCAATTCAAAGTCATTCCATTTGTACTTTTACTTTCATATACAATTCCTAAAATATTTGTTGTAAGACATCTGATAACTAAATAAACTTGAATAGGTGTTGGAAAGCTCAGAGCTCTTCTATATATATAGTTTAAACATTTAAAATAAATATCAATTCCGATCACATTTCACAGTCTGGAACTCGTATTTCCCATTATTCCTTCAGCACATGAATGCAGCATCTTTCTGTAAAAGAAAGTAAATATCAATAATCTGGGATTTCCCAAAATTGTGTCGCCTCAGTGTTTCTCTTTGACTCCTTGATGCTTCCACTTGTGTTCATGATATCAGATGTGTAGGTTTGACCCGGTTCTGTCCCCCCCATATAGTGTTTAAAATATAAAATAAATATCAATTTCAGACTAACTTTAGGTGTCGGTTTGACCCGGTTCTGTAGTATTTCTAAAACTCCCAAATCTCGCACATAAACAGTTTCTGAACAATTACTTTGACTTTAGGAAATGACTTGTTTTGAACACGAGTGGCCCCGGCCTCAGGTGACCCTGGTATAAAAAGGTAAAGTCCGCCCTCTAGTGGTCAAAGCAGGGAATCACCTTTCTTCACAATTATTCATGGAACATTTAAAATGTAATATATTTGTTTAGTTTATTTGTTTACAGTGTCGTGGACAGTCCCGATTGATCACCTGTCACAACAAACACTAAATGGGCCATTAGCTTCAGCCAACATTGCTCATTTCCAGCTGTTGTCCTCAGCCAGATGATAACAGACACCTTTTTAAAATCACAACACATTGCCATATCTGCACTGTAGCTGCTGTGCACATGACAATAAAGCCTTGAAACTTGATGCTTCCACAAGTGTTCATGATACGTGATGGTTTGACCCGGTTCTCTCCCCCCATTTGGTTTTCCCTGATGTTTATTTTATTTTATTTAATGTATTAGTCCCAGATTGAGATCAATAGATTCTTTTTTAATTTGTATTTTCTCCCCCCCACCCCTCAGGAGACGTGGTACTGGCCGGGCGATGTGAGTGCTGACTCTGTGGTGATGAGCGGGGTCCGATGCTCCGGCACTGAGATGTCTCTGAACCACTGCCTGCACCACGGGGCCCACCTCAGCTGCTCCAAGGGGGGGGGCCGCAACGCCGCCGGGGTCTCCTGCTCAGAGAGTAAGATCACTACACTTTATTTTATTTAGTAGTCAACATAATAATATAATACTAAGAACTAAACCGATGATTAATGCCAGGTGTATCGCCAGTGACAGAACCATTTCCCCCTCAGTGTCCTGCACTATACACTGTATATATGTACACACACTATATATAAGTACACAGACTATATATAAGTACACAGACTGTATATAAGTACACACTGTAAACAGTGAATATAAGTAAAAACTGTATGTGCACACACTGTATATAAGTACACAGACTGTATATAAGTACACACACTTCCACTAAAATTCCAGAACCATTTCCCCACCT